CCGCCCCACGCCCCGGCCCGCAGCGTCCCCGGCCCGCAGCGAGCGCCGCGCCGCGCGTCACGAGGCTAAGTTTAGAGGGAAGGGGCTCCGCCAGGACACTGAGCCCCCGGCCGCGCCCCCCTGCTCCGCCCCCTCTGCATCCCCAGCCCCTCGCTCGGACTCAGCGGGGGAACCCCGAGATCGCCATTCTCGGACTCAGAGGGGACCCGACGTTGGGACAGGAGCGAGTCCCGGAGGGCCTCGGGCAGAGGCCTGGGTTGCCGAAGGCACTGTGAACTCGGGGCGTCCGGGCCCAGGGTGCACCTGCAAATGTGGGTGGTGGGGAGATCCGAACTCGCAGGCTGGAACGATGAAGACGGGTCTGGGGATCAAAGGCTCAGTGTTCGAATTCAGTATGTGGGAATAAATTTGGGAGTAGCTGTGCGTGGTGGTGTAAGCCTGTAATCCTAGTACTCTGTAGGCTGAAGCAGGAGGGTCACCGCGAATTGGAGACCAGCCTGGGGACATAGTGAGTTCAAGACCAGCCAAAACTTCATAGCGAGACCCTGTCTCAACAAGCAAGCAAGCAAAGGAGAGCAACCTAGAAACTAGGGCAACTTTTGCCCTGCCTTTAACGCATACAAACTGACTCACTGACATTAGCCGCAAGCAGCGGGGTCTTTGTCCCACTTTCGCAGCGCAGAAAAGGATGTAAGAAGGAAACAGCCTGCAGCTGCCTTTCTGGGGTCCTGTCCCTGGCAGTTGTGGTTCCAGTCACCATCGCCAGACCTTCCAATCCTCCTAAGGGGCTCCGGCGCCCCCTCGCGGGATAGGCAGGAGTTGCAGGATCAAGGCTGGCAATTTTATGGCCAACCTGAGAAACCGCAACGGTCTGAATGGGGAGATTATATATGTAATATAATACAATATATTATAATATTATATATATAATTGCAAAAGATAGACTAGAGAGACATAATTTAATGAGATAATACATAACATATATTATATATATTTCCCCTACCAAGTGTAGTTTTGTTATCCCAACTATTTGGAAGGCTGAGGCAGGAAGATCCACAAGTTTGAGGCCAACCTGGGCAATTTGGTGAGGACTCCACCTCAAAATAAAATTTTTTAAAAGGCTGGGGTGAGGGGCCAGGGATATAGCTTCAGTGGCACAGCACCTGCCTGACAAGCGCAAGGTCCTGAGTTCTATTCCTGGTACAAAAAAAAAGGCTGGGGTGTAGCTCAGTGGTAGAGTGCATCTCTGGCATGTAGGAGGCTCTGAGCTGCAACCCCAGTAACAGGTAGAGAAAGCGAAAGTGAAATTTTCAGATGAGCAAGACTCAGAAAATGACTACTCACAGGCTCCCAAAAGATTAGTAGAGAAGGGATCTGGGTGTGGCTCAGGGGTAGAGC